ATATCAAGTGAGATGGATTTTAAAATGAGAGATGAGAGAAACAAACAACAACCATTAGATCATGATTAAACTTATTTATTAATGTGACTATTAATTTCCCTTTCTTATTAACTTGAATTTCATCTCTCTTATTAATTTGATCTAATGGTTGTTATTTGTTACTCTCATCGCTCATTTAAAATCACTCTCATTTGATATGCTCTCTCTCTCTCTCTCTCTCTCTCTCTCTATATATATATATATATATATATATATATATATATATATATATATATATATATATATATATATATATATATATATATATATATATATATATATATATATATATATATATATATATATATATATATATATATATATATATATATATATATATATATATATATATATATATATATATATATATATATATGATGTATCATATGAGAATGTCATTTTTATATGAGAACATAAGAATGAATTTGAACCATTAGATTTTAAAATAAATTGTGGAGATTATGTGTGTTTTTTTTCTCTCATCCATTATTATAATAAATGGTGGAGAAGAGAGAAAAAAATTACACACAATCTCCCCCATTTATTTTAAAATTTAATAGTTTCGATTCATTCTCATATTCTTACATAAAAATGTCATTCTCATATGATAATCTTTTATATATACGGAGACGACTCAAACGAGAATGCTTTTGCTATTATAGAAAACAAAAACAAATAATTATAACCATTAGATCTATTTAATTAATATTAATGAATCAAATTTCTTTTAAATAAAAAAGGCACATGAGATCGTGTTTTTTAATGTTAATATATTAGACCAATTATTTGCAAAAAAAAAAACATATATACCAGACCAATTGTTTTTATTATTATTTTAATTTACTAACAATCTTTATCCAATGCACTGTCATTGACGGTTTTCTCTCACAGTCTTCTCCCGCTAAAAATTGCGTGGAGTGATTTAGACCAATTTTCTTCTATTTTAACACCTCCAGATTTTCCTCTTCATGAGAAATATATTTGTAACTGGTGAAAATTTGCATCCTTGTATGCTTTATCGTGGCAATTCAAGGATAGAACAAGTTTTTTTTTAAATCTATTTTAAGTCAATCAATATTGAAAGTTACTGTGTTCTTTGAGAATGTGTTGACATGCATTCTTGGCATTTGCAGATGAGAAATGCTTCCATGACACTACATTTTACATCCACACCGTATATTATATATTAAATACATACTTATTATTATTTTAATAATTTTTGTTTTACTTTGATAACTGTGCAATACTAAAACACTTGGATACATACGGTGTAATTAGCATACGGTGTAATAAATTGGTGTTAAGCTAGCAATGCTGTTTGCAGATATTAGAAAGTAAGAAGTCTAGCAAACTTTTATCTTGAGTAGGACTAATATGTGCGGGTTGTCTATACATGGCTTATAGATGAACTAAAAAACAAAAGGTGCATGAAAAGCTTTAATTTATTAAATTTAATAAATTTTCTAGCAAATCCATGGAGCTACCTTGTCTAGACATTTTAATTCAGAAATTATATTATGTACTAAGCCAAGCAATTTTGAAAGAAAATCAAGGTAAGTCAAATTCATTGTAAATGTATTATACTATAGGCTGACAAGTGCTACAAAATTTGTTTAAGTATTAAAATTCATAATTTATACGATAAAATCAATAAATAACTCCATCTATAAGGGTTATTTTTAAAACTAACTAAAATAATCAACTGCAAATTAAAATCTTTAAGAGTCAGCAAAATTCTGAATTCCTTCAATGTCAAATTTATTTTTAAAGAAGTTATTCATCGAGTTCATAAATGTATAAATTCCTGCATATATATATATATATATATATATATATATATATATATATATATATATATATATATATATATATATATATATATATATATATATATATATATATATATATATATATATATATATATATATATATATATATATATATATATATATATATATATATATATATATATATATATATATATATATATATATATATATATATATATATATATATATATATCAAGATAGAAAAAAATATGAGATTAAATCTTTATTATATGTGAGTGATTAAGTATAAAAAAGAATGCTTACTGGATTACAAAATGGATATTTTAGGACAATTACGATATTAACCATATACTTTACAAAGTCGTGCTCTTTTTTGTTGTTTTGCAATAACCTTTTCTTTTCCTCCTTTAATTCGTTTACCACTTTCTTTTGTCTTTGAAGTTTCATGTAAAAAATTCTAAGGAATAGCTTTTTATCTTTACTTTAAGAACAAAATGTTTATAGTGTTTATGAACAAACACTAACAAAATTTGATCTATGATTTTTACCAATAAATAGCGACAAGAAAGATCATGGAAAATAGTATTTTTCATGAAAAAAAAATCACAAGGTGGATTTATGATCCTTTGCATTACATGAAATCAGAAGTAAAAAATTAAATATAATTTTAGTGTTCAATGATATTACTTTAGTTAAATGTGAAGAATGGATTAACAAAATAATGGAAAGATTTCTTTTGAAGAGTGTATCTGTGAGAAGGAATAGCAAAAAAATTCATATCCGCATATATTTGTAGATAAAATCTGTCACGGATATGAGGCGGATATTAATGGATATCCATAGATAAAATAAATTAATATTTAAATACACGTTTGTTAATGAATATAGATACAAATTTAATGATATCCACATTTAATGATATCCGTGCCCGTGGATATCTATATCGGTTAATAAATTATAAAAATAATTTAAATATCATTAGTTTATTATACTTTATCTTTTCATCTTCTAAAAAAAATTAGTCTTCTTATAATATTTGGATCTAATTATGTTTTGATGAATAAGAAGAAAATTAATGTGATGAAATTTTATTGTTAAATTAAAAGCGAGTTGTATGGATGTTATGTGATAATAACTTTGTGTCTTTAAAAGAAATATATATATATATATATATATATATATATATATATATATATATATATATATATATATATATATGTGTGTGTGTGTGTGTGTCTTAAATATTTTGGAGACCCGTTCAATTTTAAAATTAGACCCATAATAAAAGAAAACACAACAAATAAAAAAATTATTTTCATTTAAATTGTAAATAAAATTAAATAATTTAGAGAGATAATATAGAAATATTATATAGAAATTTGACTCATCGAAGTTTAGTTTTTTTTTCATTTTTCTACTCTTACAATTTTAGATTTATAAAAAGTTCATACTATTAAATAAAAAGAAATAATGCTTTGAACAATTTCAACAATACTAAAATGAAGTATTTTCTTTAATAAACAACAAACAATGTAAAATTACAAATTTGAAATGGTATTTACTCGTTCTATAAATATAGAGTGATATAGTAAAATCAAAATCTCCATTAGTAGAAAAATTTATAAAAAATTAGCCTAAAATAAATTTAAAAAACTTTTAAATCTAATAACATAATTTATTATATATTTAATAATAATTTAAATAAAAAATAATAATAAATATACTTTAATTTAAAAATATTATTCAATAAACTATATTAATACTATTAAGTAATAAATTAAAAAATTGACTAAAATTTCAAAAACAATTTCATCTTGGAGCCATGTTGATTAAAATAAAAAAATATGGATATAATTTAAATTAGTAGAAAAACTTATAGAAAAGTTAGGCTAAAATAAATTTAAAAAACTTTTAAATATAATAATGTAATTTATTATCTATTTAATAATAATTTAAATAAAAAATAATAATAAATATAGTTTAATTGAAAAATATTATTCAATAATCTATATTAATACTATTAAGTAATAAGTGAAAAAATTGATTAAAACTTCAAAAACAATTTCATCTTTGAAGCCATGTTGATTAAAATAAAAAATATGAAAAAAATGATAACCCAAATATTGCTGCTATCAAAAGCCCTCACAAACGCTAGGCTACACAACATGTATCTTAAATTTGGAAACAGTGTTATATGGCTTCATGGTCACTGATAGAGCTACTGCCACTGAAGTAGATGCTCGCCTATTCAGCATATTAGAGAGGATTATTGCAGCATATACTTAGTTGGTCACCAACTGTACTTGCTAGAGAAGTATAATGAGCGACAACCTCTAATTGTATAGGGTTGTGTGAGTGTTTAGAGTGTTAAACTACATATATAACTCACGTAGGGTTGTGAGAAGTTCTGTATGTTTTTTGAGAAAATTTTATGATCCCTTTTACTTTATTTCAATGCGATATATATATATATATATATATATATATATATATATATATATATATATATATATATATATATATATATATATATATAGAGAGAGAGAGAGAGAGAGGAGATCCCTTGGGCCCGAATCTAAGGGCAAAAAGAGTGTTCCTCTTATTTAGGTTGAAGGCATGAGAGTGGAAAGAATAAACTCACGGTTGCAATTGTGGAGAAGTAGTTATTCTCTATCCTCTGATTGAGTTTATGCACGTCATGTATTCCCTTAGTTGAGTTGTTAGGAAACATGGCTAGGTTGAGACGGCTAAGCCCAAATCCAATACAACAACCAAATGTAAAAGCTAAGAGTAAGAATTCAGTTTGGACGGCTCGTAGCACCCATTTGAACACTCTCCTGATATTTGTGCAATTGTCTTGTAAAAGTATTCAATAGAAAAGTTTCAATTAAAAATTTCACAAAATCCATCCTGTAAAAGTATTCAATAAAATTTATATATTTTGAGTATGCAGAATTATTGAAAATTTTCAATTCAATACTAATAGATTTGTTGCTTAAAATATATTGTTTGTCTAAATTGAACACCACAAAATTTATATTTTATAAAAATAAACTATTAATTTAAATTTTCGAATCAAACTAGGAGAAAAATGAAGTTTGGATATCACTCCCGGAAAGTAAGGCTAGTCAGAGTGAGAGTTTGAATGTAGTAGGCCTTTGTCTTCCAAATATGTCTCTATTCCTGCAAACACATTACACACTCTCTCTACCTTCACCCCCTCCCCCTTCTCGTTTCTCAAATCGAAACCCTAACTCTAACCCCTACAATTTCCCCCCTCTAATCCCCACCACACCTCCCAAATCCCAATTCCAATTTCCCAATAACCGTTCTCCACCCTCTACTGTCTCCGCCTCCCGCCGGGACACTTCAGAAACGCCGCAGTTAAAGTTGCCCCTTGCTCTAGTGCGCGTAACTCTCTCCGCCGCGCTGTTTCTCTGCTGTGGCATTCGTGCTTGTTCGGCCTCTTCGCCTCCTCTAACCACCACCGTGGTTCAGCAGGAACAAACTATTCAAGGTTTCCATCACTTTTTCATTAGATGATTCAGTAACTTCTAGATTGAAATTATGCCTTATAGATTTTGCTTATAATATTACAAATATAATTATCTGGCAATGAAAGTAAAATTGAATTTTAGGCTGTACAAAAATGTTGCTATCACATGGATCACCAAATAGTGATCTTTGGTTTTGTATGTTTTTATGATTGCAGATGAAAATGATGCAAGGAAACAAGATGGCAGTGAAAAGATAGATGTAGATAAGGAGTTAGAAGCATCTTTTAATGCTTGGAAGTCTAAAACGTATGCATTGACTGTTCCTTTGAAAGTTGTTGCTTTGCGTGACTCTATTCCTCCTTCATGGATCAAGGTCTGTCACACATTCCTTAACTTGCTTAAAGCAACTTATAGTTGACTAGCGTTCGGACCTAGCCGCTCTTTTTTGTTTTGTTATATATCCTTGCATCAATGCAAGATGAAGTCTATGTGTGAATTCTATGAACATAAATCTGGGCACACACCAGAGAATGGTAGAGTATCAATTTAGAACTACAAAATTAGGAGTTATGAAGTTTTGTTGTTTTTAAGAATCATACTTTTGTTAAAAATCATAAACTTCTACAACTATTTAATCAAAACCTACGCCGATAAGGGATGTCCCTCACATCGATTAATATAACTGCAAAAATATTCCCAATATCTGAACTTGAATACGTAAATAACAAAAAATACGACAGTCCAATTGAATTCCAAAAAAAAAAAATATTGTTTTGAGTCCCACATTATACAATATACGGTATGAACATGTCTTTATAAGCGAGGGTAATTCTCATCCTACCGACCGGTTTTGTAGGGTTGAGTTAGACCTAACCACATTTCTTAACATGGTATCAAGAGCCTCATTTAAGATCCGGGGGGCCACCTATTATGGTTTCCATTGGACAATATATGACCTGAACATGTCTTTATAAGTGGGGGTAATTATCACCCTACCAGCCGATTTTGTAGGGTTGAGTTAGACCCAACCATATTTCTTGACACGTAAAAAATATAATATCACCGGTTTAGTCATATTCATTCTATTTCTATTGTTTTCTTGATTTTTTGCTTCGGTGTCCAGTAAACAGAGCCACTAAAAAAGTAAAACAGAAAACAACACATAATTTTCATCTATGAACTATGTTCACAGATTTTGATAATAAATAAATAAATAAAGATGCAAAAACAATGAAATCAAAATAGAAGTAAGAAAAAAAAACTTTGAATAAAAAAAGGGAAAAAAAGGAAAAAAAAAAGTGTAACTAAACCAACATCGAAGTTGTGGCATCCTTGTTCACAATCAAATTAGTATTCCGAGTAAGTTTCTCTTGAACAAAAATCATAGTTAATAAATAACAGGAATCAACCACCCACATTAACTGAGCTTGAGCGAACTCAATAAAAGAGAAGCTGCCATCACTCTTATCCTCATGTATTTTCTTCATCTCTTTCCTTTTATTTCTTCATGTTTAACATTTTTTTCTCTATTCTTTTATTTACTTATGCATCACTCTTCTTCTTTACCCCACATGTGGATGAAGTTAAGAGGTGGCGAGTTTTACCCTTAACTGAAGCCTTTATAGATACTTGTCAAAAGTATACATTTGGATTATGTCCTGCTTGCGGTTTCTTATTACTCTGGTTCATTACTCCTCTTGAACTGTTTCTGCTTGTAGGGAAGTATTTGCTTTCCTTAAGAGGCTTAAAACGTCAAGATAATGTGGTAACCATTTAAAATGGTAGAAGATAATGAAATGAAAAAGATACGTGAAATGTCATTGAACGGTTAGTGATACAGAAGTTAAGGTTTAAAATAAAATCTGAAAAAGGTATATTTAGAACAAAAATAGGCTACACCAAATTGTTATAGATTATAGATATATTATTATAGATTATAGATGATAGATTTTAGTAAATTATTTTATAGTTTTTCATGTGAGTTTTTCTTCACTTTTAGGACTTCATAAATTCTCAAGGGAAGAGAATGTCATTTAACGTGAAGTATTATGCAAGTCTTGAGAGCATCTTCTCTAATCTATCCATTCCCTTTACCAAAGGAAATCTTGGCCCAACATCTGCTTTGGCAGCTGATATTGTCGGTATTGGTGATTCATGGCTCAAATTTGCCATTCAAAAAGCTGTAATTGAGCCAATACAGGATGTAGATGGCCAGGAATGGTTTAAAAACTTAGCTGAGAAATGGAAGGTAACATTATTTTGTATTCTGTATTTCTCCGGCTTAGAAATTGTGGCTCAGGATTCGTTTTGTTCTTCTTTTATAATGAAACCATTTATTTTCTGCATTTTGTTAAGCTCGATTTGTGATTCATCTTCTTTCACGAGTATGCATGTATGATTTATTTTTTTCTTTTCATGAAAAACAAACACAAGAAAACAAAGACTTCATAGTTGCCCTTGTGCTTCTGTGTGTATGACAATTTAAATTGAGTACTACTCATAATGATCTCTCTCTTACATGGTAAAGTGACATCACTGCACATGTTTTTTTTTTTTGTTCCTTTCATAAGCATAGTTTTTTGAATTAACATGTTAGTAAAGTTAAATGGATTTTACTGCTGGTCACTTGGAATAATATCCTGTGTTGGGTTTGAGTTCTGTTACTGACGTTTTAAAAGATATGATAAAATATTATAGCGTCATTTGATCCATGTAGCCGACCCGTAAAGTTTGGGTATTGTTGTCGGACTGCTGAAGATGACAACATAACATCACTGGGAGAATCCGGTGTGTATATACCATTGGTTTTTGTTGCAAGTGCTCAAGATTAATTATAACATATATCCAATGGTTAGTTATTGTCCTTTGGGAATGTATGTGTTAGACTTCTTATAACGACAGTCGTGGACAGTTTTGGGAAGTTATTATGTCAGTTATATTGTTTAATTTTTGGAATAAATAGAGAAAGAAAAGGAGAAATTGTGGGATAGTTATTGAGTGGTTTTGGGTGGGAGAAACCAAGACTCTCGAATTTCTTGGGTAGGAATTGCTTTTTATCTATTCTTTCATTGTCTCTCTAAACTTCGTCATATGTACTGTTATGTTAATTCTGTATTAACAATATAAACTGCTGTTCTAGACAAATTCTGCAGAGGACTGTTCTATCATTTATGTTTTCTTTTCCATAATTCACTCACTATAGGTACCAGTTCTATCAGTAATTCAGTATGTTGTTGATAGTACAATATTACATTCCCTGACAAAGTTCCAGGTATATCTACGCAGGAACCGTGAGGGAGAAATGGATCCTGAAGGTGATGTATGGGCTGCCCCATATCGATGGGGTTGCATGGTAATAGCATACAAGACAAATAATTTTCAAAAGTATAAGTTGGCTCCTATAGAGGTATGTTGTTTTCTATTACCCTGTAAAACTATGGTAAAGCATTTATTAGATATTTTGATTAAATTAGATATTTAAAATGGAATTGTAGGACTGGGCTGATCTGTGGCGTCCTGATCTTTCGGGGAGGATTTCCATGGTAGATTCTCCTAGAGAAGTTGTTGGTGCAGTATTAAAGTATATGGGGGCTTCCTATAATGCAAATGACATCAATTTGGAAGTTAATGGTGGGAGAGATGCAGTTAAACATAATTTAGCATTGCTTGCAAAACAGGTACTGTTACTCAATGATCTCTCAACTTTGATGTCGCTTTTAATTGGAGTAGAGGGGAAAACACATAAAAGTTTAATTGACAACAAATAGTATTGTCCATTCTGTTTTTCCAAGTTATAAATATAAGTTACTATACTTTTATGTATTTCTAGGTTCGACTCTTTGATAGTGAAAACTATCTAAAGGCTTTTGGAGTGGGAGATGTGTGGGTAGCTGTTGGATGGAGTAGCGATATTATTCCTGTTGCTAAACGCATGTCTAACGTTGCAGTTATCGTTCCAAAGTCTGGAGCAAGTTTATGGGCAGATCTTTGGGTATGTCTCTCATTGCCCTCTTGTTTTAGAGGGTTTGTTATCTGATTGCTTAATGGTTTTGAGGGATTATACGGAAATGATATGGTAGTGTGGTTTCAAATATCAATATGGGACAGATATCATTTACCTATTCATTGATAATAGTTATGAGTTCATCTCTTCTTAGATACTAGACATTGACCTTTCTCCAACTTTTGTTTTTGTTTTTGTTTGGGTTTCCCTAGGCAATTCCTGGTGCCTCTCGGATTCAAACTAGTCAGATTGGTGGGCGTGTCAGGGGACCGTCCCCTTTAATCCATCAGTGGATAGAGTTTTGTCTGCAATCTGCAAGAGCACTTCCCTTCAAGCAGGAGGTGATTCCAGGTGCCTCTCCCCCTCTTCTTCAAGGTCATTCCGCCAATGTGTCCTTGGAGTTGACCAAGGGTAGGCCAAGGCTAGACACCAATCTCATTGATGGAGCACCACCACCTAACATTTTAGCAAGGTGTGAGTTTTTAGAGCCATTATCTAATTCAGCAGTGTCAGATTACCACTGGTTGCTTGACTCAATTCAAAAACCTGGCAATGGATTGATACACAGAGTGCGTCAGTATATCTCATCAGTGGTCTCATTTTCTAGATGATTTCATTCGACTCTGACTTGAACGCATTTATTGGACCCTGAAATACATACCACATATGTGATTTTAATGTCCAGAAACATCAAAGGTTGGTTGATACTGTTTGAAGATCTGCAGAGGTTGATTTTCAAGATTATCGGGTTCTAATAATGTTGGAGCTGTACGAGTTAACTGCCCATTCGCTTGCCCTCTTTAATATTGAGACTTTAAAATTTTTCTGTAAAATTCATAAATAAAAAAAATTATTAATGTATAAGCACTTGAAGTAATTTGTTTTTCATGTGTTCATGTCTACTCTAGGGGATTTATTGTTTGTACAAATCAACCAGAAGCAAACATTGGACAAGTTGTTAGGGTACCCACATCCATATACCTATATTTTTTTAAATAGTCACACAATCTATAAATTTTTTAAAAAATAGATCCCACTAGACCCCACAATATATTTTGGTAGATTTTGAAAAAAACCAAATAAAAAGTTAGAGCATGATTATCGGTTGTTCTGTTAGAAGTATTTGGATATTTGAGATTTTCAACCGTTCTCTAATTTGCAATGTTCATAAGCAAACACACGCTTCTACAACTAATGTGGCTCGTATTTTATTAAGAAATTCATTTTATCAATTAAAGAAAATCAAGCAGCGGTAATATTTGGAAAAAACTACAAAAGTAATTAATATATATAATATATATAGTGGAACCTATTTTAATTTTTTTTTTTTAAAAGTTAGATGGATATTTGAGAATTGTAGATGAATTGTTTAAATAATTGGAAAAAAAATAAAATACATAAAAAATTAAATGAATCTCATTTAAAAAATTCAAATGGGTATGTTAGATAGGAATGCTGTTACACGTTGTTCAGTTGAGAAATGGAAAAATAAGTGGACTATCCATCAACTGCTGAAAATAAGTGGACTATCCATCAACTGCTGACACAACTTTTTTAAAATCAGTGTAAGAACTCCTAAACATAACCTGATAATTATGCTCTTATCCCAAACATCACCCAATAATCATGTTCTTAAAGCTATCTAAAGGGAGTGGTTATAAATGCTAATCAACATGGTTTTTTGATATCCCATCCAAAATGTCCTTGATCCCATCTATCTCTTGGGAGAGAGAATTGTTGATAAGTCCGTAAGTGTATTGTATTAATATAAAAAATATCAAATCTACAAAGATTAATTATCAACCTAAGATTATGCATTGCTACTATGTAAATTTAAGATTAAGGATAATAATTTTGGTGTGCAAAAGAACAAAATAAGCTGGTTTAAAATCAATTAAGAGACGGGAGACCGAAATGTGACTCTCGTCAATCAATAGCATTTGCGAAGTTTATAATTAAATTGAGATGGTATTTTCTCGTAAGAAAAATAATTAATTTAAAGGAACCGTTCGCTTTCGTTCAATTGAAATTAGTTTTTTTGCCTAAAATCTATAATGTCTCTTTAGCATCTTTTAACGTGTTAGAATGCAAAAAAAAAATCTTTTTAAAATTAATTGTTTTTAATCATTTAGAAAGTTGATTAAATTAGAAAAATTAATTTAAAGGTATTATCGGCTTTCACTCGTTTAATATCGAATTTTAAGTGCATAAATGTTTGCTTTCGCGTGTCCGTTTATGTTCTTAAAATCACCTTTTTAAAAAGTATTATTTTTTCTAATTAACTAAAAAAATACTTTTATAATGTTAATAGTTAAAAACTTGATTTTTCCCAAATCAGATACAGATACAGATTCTGTTCTTTCTAAGCGGAGTCGGTATTTCTAAATTATCTTTTATAATAAACCAATTAATTAAAACAAAATTAAATTTAGCACATTAAACAAATTTCATTCAATTATAATTTTTAATTGACGTATTTGCAATACGACGATCCTCACATTAGCTAGAAATATTTGAAACAAAATTGCTAGTGTAATTCAAATTTATACTAAACATATTTAATATAATAATAATAAAAGAGGCACATGCAATTGGTATATGAAAAATAGTAAAAAGAGTAAAGTTGGAACCTAAAATGCAGAATAGAAGGGCGTAATAATATAAGAAAAAGCTCCAAATCTAGTTCAGGTGAATGTTGAAATAAAAATCCGAAATGCTAATTTCGTCAAAATTTAAATACAAGAATCAAGAACAGATTGAAAATTCTGATTTTAAGTTGCAAAAAAATTTCAGTATGAAAAAATAACGCTTTTACAAAGGTAAATATATGCTTAAAATAAAATTCTAAAATCTTGGATATCTGAAACTAAACTAAATTGTCATATTTATAGTGAATAATTTGTATAATGGTGTCATAAAACATGTATGAGATAGCGTAGAAAGTGGTGGAAACTGAATTGTTGAGTCCTTGAGACGTGGTTGAAAATTTAAGTTTTAACACCACGACGGGTGTCACGGTGCTGGCGCCTTGTCCGTCATGAGTTAGGGGAGGAAGACAGCGTCATCCAGATGACGACCTACCCGTCATCCAGTTGGTACTTAACTTCTTCAGCTTTTATCCAAGTTGTCATGTTATGACGGACGTCATGCTCGCAGTGGACCTGTCATGGCAGTGCATAATGCCTATTTCGTTCATGTTTTTAACGTTCTACACTATTTTCTCGCCCGGACACTCCTTCAAACAAAATGTCTGAAACATACATCAAGTACCAACATAAAACCATAAAAGAGAAAGTATAAGACACAATATAGGATGCAAATCGAGTCGGAAATACGATGCTTTTCCGAGCTTTCAATTGTCTCTGGTGAATACACACCACAAAGAGAATTGTCAATCTCATTCTTCATTTTCTTATTTTATTTAATATTTTATTTTTCTATTTTTTATATGTGGCTCAAATTTCCCTATCTCTGTCCTCTAAGGAACATAAAAAAAAGATTTTAATATTATTTTTAAAAAAATAAAGACAAAAAATACTTAAATTTAATTATAAAATAAAATGAATAAAATACCCAGACATTAATGATTTTATAACAACGTGGGTCTACACCTGTTAGGTAAATTCAACATATCTGAACAAATTGATTAAAAGAATAGGTTGGGCAGGAATATTTGATAGCCATGACTTTTAAAAATAAAAAGGGGGTTGTTCTTCTCGCTTTTAGTGGTGAAGAGCTACCCTCATGAATTTCGAAATTGTCATTTCAATATTATAGAAGTACATTTTCGAACGCATTTATTGCACACCGAAACACGTTTTAGGTGAGATGTCTCTATTTTCCCAAGAACTAGTTTGAAAGTGTATCTTCAGATTAACCACTACAATGATTTTGTTTATTTCATAACTCAGTGAATACTTTAGAAGTGCCGCTATGAATTTATCATGTGGTAAATTGAAAAAGACATAACCTTGCATGTATTTCATAGCTTAGTGAATAATTCATAAATGCACTTTTGAATTTGTCAAGCGGGAAATTGAATAAAACACCACATTCTGAGACAATCTATGTTCCATTAGTGAAATTCTCATCAGAAACTTAGAGACCTTTATAAAAAAGGAAAATTTGAAACGTTAAAATAACAAGCCCGAACTAATTAAAACATATAACTTCACATATATGCTTCCGATATATTTTACATAGAGCTTGACACACCTAAGACCAATGGCACCGCCAAGTAGATAAAACATAAAAGAAAAAAATACAGAAAGGAAACCAAAAGAAAATATAACAAAAAGGACCTCCTAAGTCCACCAGGACTGTCAGTTATATTGATTGTATATAATATTACATAGTAGTAGCGATGTGATAATCGTTTGACAAAATGCTAACAACCTTCAATCTTGACGTTGTCGTAACCTGTCTACACATCACTCCATAACCTTCCCTCCTGAACAATCGAGCTCGTCGCCTGATTGCCATAAATCAATCAAAAAATGCAAGAGAAAAAGAATACAGAGTTAAGATTTACGTACAAGTTTAAAAGTAGGAATAGGGCGTAAAATAGTAATATATATGACAAACACAATTAGTCAAATAGGTGTATCCTTATCACGTATTTATCTCTATTCAATTCCTGTCTATTTTAATACATCCCTGAACTGTATGCTGACTCAGGCCACTAAACATTGTCAAGGATATCTATCCCATTTACCAAGATTCGATATCACAAGACCACATTCCATCAACATAGCCCCAATAACCAAGAGCTACGCCACCCGACTTCACGTGGAGTTAAGAAATCAGGGAAATAAGTTTTTCTTGCCTTACACGCATAAATAATAATTCGCGCCGGGATTGTAGGCGACTGATCAACCTCGTACATCCCATACCGCACGACAGTGGACGTACACTTCCGTCAATGCAAGTCTATATGATCACTCAATCATCTTGTGGTGACTCTCAACTATAAGTATTAAGTTAGTAGTCAGGAATTATCTTATCAACCTTTCAGGTTATGCTTATTATCTAGATACTTAGGTTGAGTGTCAAATTCATGAAATGTCTAATCATATTTTTTCATTCCTTCCCGACACGATCTTTATCTTTACATAATCAGTTCAGTTTGTACAATGAATAATGTATGATTGACTCCCTAGGTAAGATAGGTGACTATAAGAGACATATTCCACCAATTCTTGCCTATCCAGACTCCAACCGTATACAACTAATCAAAGTATTTCATTTAACTTAAGTGATGTGGGATCATCCACTTGGTTCTCGCTACGCCGTTGGCTCCGTTTCTTCGAACAGTAATCGGTTTCGTTTCTTAGTCTAATATCATTCAAGTTTATATTCAAATAAACAAATAAATATTTAGACAAATAATCAAATAATGTAAGCATAAATAAACCTTGGATATCATATATCATCCTTATAACAAATTATTAAGGTCGGGATAACGGAGAATTGATTCTCCTTAATTATTTGTCCCTAGTAAGGCTTTGGTCATTGCTACTTTCAGATATTTAAATTATTTTATGCTAACCCTCCCAACGTATACAGATCTTTCCCCCACCTTTTGTTGTTGAGCATTGTTGAAAGCCCACGA